GAAAGGTCTTCTGCTTTACAAAACGTTTGCCAGAAGTAGGCTAGAATAATCATGTTCTTCATTTAGCAAAATGTCCAAAACAGCTATGGATAAAATAAAAGTACAAACAAATTTCAGTCTTAGACGCGTACTCGGCTTAATAAAGTGTACACCGGTACCGATCTTATATCACATGGCGGCGGAGTTTCCGCCCGAGTACAGAATTTGTTTTCAAATGGCAAAAGAATTGATAAAAGTTTTTGCCTATGAGTTGCCAGCCATAGATACACTTGTATCCAATAGTGAAATTAAAACTAGTTATGCCAAACTAAATAGAGTCTTTAAACATATCCTAGATCAAGTTAAAATCTGTGATACATTACCTGTACATAATAGTAAAACAAGGGTAGACCTAGATTTCTTTAAAAAAAAACATTAAAATTATGATTAACTTGCGTATATTTTTAAAAACATTGAAGCTATGTTAATTTACAGCTTAATTATTCGATAGTTCCTATGGCAGCTATACGACATCGTTTTCCGATGTATATAAAATTATAAACGTTATTCTGAACTGTAAAATTATTAAAAAGTCAAAAAGAATTAAAAACAAGAAAGAAAGCAAACTTCGGCAAGCCGAAGTTCATATACCCTTGCAGCTATTGCAAGAATTAAACATTTTTGAAAACATTAAAATTATGATTTCCTTGCGTATACGTTTAAAAACATTGAAGCTATGATGATTTGTAGCTTAATTATTCGATAGTTATTTTATTATTTGTTATTGAGCTGCAAATCATCATTGCTTCAATGTTATTAAACCTATACGCAAGTAAATTAAAATTTTTATACCCTTGCAGAGGGTATTATAATTTCAGTCAGAAGTTTGGAACGCAGTGAAGGAGACGTTTCCGACCCTACAAAGTATATATATTCTTGCTCAGAATCACTCGTAGAGTCGATCTAGCCATGTCCGTCTGCCCGTCCGTCTGTCCGTCCGTCTGTCCGTCCGTTTATATGCAAACTAGTCTCTCAGTTTTAAAGCTATCTGCATGAAACTTTCCCAAAAGTTGTCTTTCTATTGCAGGTAGTATATAAGTCGGAACGAGCCGGATCGGACGACTATAGCATATAGCTCCCATAGGAATTATAACTTTGCTGTTTTTTAATTTTTTATTTAGTTCTGCGATATAAAGCAATGGTTAAATATTTCAGAATTATGGTTAAAATTTCATCAAAATCGGACGACTATAGCATATAGCTCCCATAGGAACAATCGGAAAAATAATTGAAAAAAAATTATAACTTTGCTGTTTTTTAATTTTTATACCCTTGCAGAGGGTATTATAATTTCAGTCAGAAGTTTGCAACGCAGTGAAGGAGACATCTCCGACCCTATAAAGTATATATATTCTTGATCAGCATCACTAGGCGAGTCGATCTAGCCATGTCCGTCTGTCCGTCCGTCTGTCCGTCTGTCCGTCCGTTTACATGCAAACTAGTCTCTCAGTTTTAAAGCTATCTGCATGAAACTTTCCCAAAAGTTGTCTTTCTATTGCAGGTAGTATATAAGTCGGAACGAGCCGGATCGGACGACTATAGCATATAGCTCCCATAGGAACAATCGGAAAAATAAATGAAAAAAAATTATAACTTTGCTGTTTTTTAATTTTTTGTTTAGTTCTTCGACATATAGCAATGGTTAAATATTTCAGAATTATGGTTTAAATTTCATCAAAATCGGACGACTATAGCATATAGCTCCCATAGGAACAATCGGAAAAATAATTGAAAAAAAATTATAACTTTGCTGTTTTTTAATTTTTTGTTTTGTTCTTCGACATAAAGCAATGGTTTAATATTTCAGAATTATGGTAAAAATTTCATCAAAATCGGACGACTATAGCATATAGCTCCCATAGGAACAATCGGAAAAATAAATGAAAAAAAATTATAACTTTTCTGTTTTTTAATTTTTTGTTTAGTTCTTCGACATTTAGTAATGGCTAAATATTTTCGATTTACGGTTTAAATTTCATCAAAGTCGGACGACTATATCATATAGCTCCCATAGGAACAATAAAAATATATAAAATAACTATCAAATAATTGAGCTGCAATCATCATAGCTTCAATGATTTTAAACTTATACGCAAGTAAATTATAATTTTAATGTTTTCAAAAATGTTTAATTCTTGCAATAGCTGCAAGGGTATATGAACTTCGGCTAGCCGAAGTTTGCTTTCTTTCTTGTTTGTTTTGTTCTTCGACATAAAGCAATGGTTAAATATTTCAGAATTATGGTTAAGATTTCATCAAAATCGGACGACTATAGCATATAGCTCCCATAGGAACAATCGGAAAAATAATTGAAAAAAATTATAACTTTGCTGTTTTTTAATTTTTTTTTTAGTTCTTCGACATATAGCAATGGTTAAATATTTCAGAATTATGGTTTAAATTTCATCAAAATCGGACGACTATAGCATATAGCTCCCATAGGAACAATCGGAAAAATAAATGAAAAAAAATTATAACTTTTCTGTTTTTTAATTTTTTGTTTAGTTCTTCGACATTTAGTAATGGCTAAATATTTTCGATTTACGGTTTAAATTTCATCAAAGTCGGACGACTATATCATATAGCTCCCATAGGAACAATAAAAATATATAAAATAACTATCAAATAATTGAGCTGCAATCATCATAGCTTCAATGATTTTAAACTTATACGCAAGTAAATTATAATTTTAATGTTTTCAAAAATGTTTAATTCTTGCAATAGCTGCAAGGGTATATGAACTTCGGCTAGCCGAAGTTTGCTTTCTTTCTTGTTTGTTTTGTTCTTCGACATAAAGCAATGGTTAAATATTTCAGAATTATGGTTAAGATTTCATCAAAATCGGACGACTATAGCATATAGCTCCCATAGGAACAATCGGAAAAATAATTGAAAAAAATTATAACTTTGCTGTTTTTTAATTTTTTTTTTAGTTCTTCGACATATAGCAATGGTTAAATATTTCAGAATTATGGTTTAAATTTCATCAAAATCGGACGACTATATCATATAGCTCCCATACAAATAATAAGAATATATAAAAGAACAATCAAATAATTAAGCTGCAAATCGTCATAGCTTAAATGTTTTTAAACATATACGCAAGTAAATCATAATTTTAATGTTTTCAAAAATATTTAATTCTTGCGATAGCTGCAAGGGTATATGAACTTCGGCTTGCCGAAGTTTGCTTTCTTTCTTGTTTGTTTTAAAAAATATTTAATTTTTGCAGATGCAAATAAATGAACAGGAAGTAGCCGAAGATGGCGATAACGAAAACGACGGAGAAGCGCAAGCCGATATGGTTAAGCTGGGCTTGTGCGAACGCTTTTATACCCGAGCTGTGGCGAAGTGTTTATGAATTGAACTACCTATATATTACACTTGACATTCACCAATGTTTGCACAGCTTTTCAAGCAAAATTGTTTTCTTTACTTGGCCAAATATTTTATGAACTTTTATTCCTACACCCATCCCCAACCTTACCCTATAACTGAAAAACAAGCGTTACTTTAAGAGCAGCTCATTTTTCATAAAGAGCCCTAGGTTTTGAAAACCTAACAAATTTATTGACGTGTTTTTTTCTCCGCATCTAAATTTGTTATTTAGGATATGGTAAATGTTGGTGCCCTTTGTTTTAAAACATGTGCAATTGGTCTTGTTTTCAATAACACTTAATACACTTGCGTGTGATTTTTAAATTTCAGTCCAACGTTTGCCAAGCAGTTAACCCTATGAAGTAAGCTAAGTTTAAATGGAAAGTTAATGCCAATTGTATTCTAAGTATATGCAAAATATGCTAATTAAACAACAAATTGTTATTGAACAGGCTTTGGCGCTTCTCTCCAATAATGGTTTTGTAAACGGAGAAGATTCTTTCCACGTCACACTATGTAATTGGAGCAAATTTATATTTTTTATAATATTTTCGATTTTGACAGGTTTAACCCCACACAAATCTTCAGCTCTGAGATTGGAAATCTTATTTATTTTTGAAATTCTATTGAAATCTGGATTTATTTACCTCCGTTCCAACGTCACCAAAAACAATATTTTCAGATTAAACAATTGCATTGACTTTGCCAAAGGCAGTCCTTTCGTTTCCAATGAAATTATAATTTCTCCAACTCTCTCAAAATTTGATTTTATATATATGTAAAATCCGTATATAGTTGTTGATTTTTAGCCAGTTTATTCTTTATGGATTGCATCTTCGGGATTAGGCGTTTCAGGTATCTAAAATGAAAATTTAAAAAAAATATATTTGAAATATTATTTGTTCAAAAAGGTTGTTTCACCTCTGTTATTCCGTCCATATTGTCTGCACAAAATTATGCCTTTAACCATTTTCCCCATCTGGTTGGGATGGGTAGCTTCCTACTTAATATGTGCTTGTATACAACGCTATAGCGTTGTACTCTAAGCGGAAGTTTTACAAACATTTTTTTTACAAATGATTTGAACGAGTTAGCGATAGGAAATTATGTTCTTCCTTTTTCCGCTATTAAGTTTAAGCCGTGTGCCAAGATTATCTGTGATTATCTGTTTTGTTTAAAATATAATCAAAAACTCATTTTTATTGGTCCCTTTCTTATACTTTACAAGTAGAATTAAATTTTTCAATAAAATATATTTGCATATTTTGAATATATTTGGCATATATTTTGCATATTTTTAGCTTATTATTCCTTTCTTTTTCATATCTTTAGCATATGTTCTGCATATTTTTGATAAGACCTCGAATTCGATTATTTTGGGTCGTAAGTTCAATTCCCGTGTATGCCACTTAAGTTATTCGATGATCTCATTTGATTCAAAACTTATGATTTTGCCAAAAAGTATCCAGTCTTTATCTTCAGTATTGAAATCTTTGAAATATTTTCTTTGAGAAAGAATGTTTTTTGAGGCATGACAACGGGAACTGACCCCCCCAAAATATCTTGTAATGAAATTGGGTATATATTTTTAAAAATGTTCTTTATTAGCAAATAATGAGGTATTCCACTAAAAGTACAAAATACCGATTTAAAACCCTATCCCTGATTGTTTCGTCGCCGTCTTTGCTGCTGCCTCCTGCGCTGTTGCTGGCGGCGGCGCCTTTGACGTTGTTGGCGCCTGCGACGTTGGCGGGCCAAGCGCCGACGACGGGCGGCGGCCCTGCGTCGCCGGGCGGCCGCACTGGAGGACGTCGAGGAGGAGGTTGTGGTGGTGGTCGTGGTCGTGGTCGTAGCCGTTGTGCTGGTGTCGGTATTGGTCGCGGCGGGCGTCGCTGTTGCGGACGACGATGACGCGGTGGTGGAGTCCGATGCGGTGGTGCTCTCAGTGGCCGTGGTAGAATCATCGCCGAGCCCCTGCTGGGCCAGCAGGAGACAGCTGAGAAGGCCCAGGAGCAGAACGTACGTGAATCGCATGCTTATTGTGTTTGACAGATTTGATCACATCCGCCGGTTTTTATAGCAAAGCTGAGTAAGGGGTAATTACACAGAAGCGAGTAAACAGAAATTGTTGGCTTATAATTGGCGATTTTTACAAAGACTTAGACGTAAGAAGTAACAAATAGCTAAGACCATGTGAGTATCGAGACAAGTTAGTAAGTAGTATGTATCCCGTTACTTCCGGTACATAATCAGATTCTCAAAGGTTTAATTCAATACTTTTGAACTATTGCAGCACGATATTTTTAAAAATAATAATGTAATACCCTTATAATTTCAGTCAGAAATTTGCAACGCAGTGAAGGAGACATTTCCGACTCTATAAAGTATACATATATACATATATATTCTTGATCAGCATCTCTAGGAGAGTCGATCTAGCAATGTCCGTCTGTCCTAGTCTCTCAGTTTTAAAGCTTTCTGCATGAAACTTTCCCAAAAATTGTCTTTCTATTGCAGATAGCATATAGCATACAGCTCCCATAGGAACAATAGGAAAAACAAGAAAGAAAGCAATCTTCCGCAAGCCGAAAATTATATACCCTTGCAGCTATTGCAAGAATTTAATAATTTTTAAAACATTTAAGTTATGATTTACTTGCGTATGTGTTTAAAAACATTGAAGCTATGATGATTTGCAGCCCAATATTAGATAGTTATTTTATATATTTTTATATTTCTATGGGAGCTATATTATATAGTCATCCAATTTTGATGAAATTTAAACCGTAATTCTAAAAAGTTTAACCATTACTAGATGTCGAAAAACTAAAAAAAAATTAAAAAACAGCAAAGTTATAATTTTTTTTGTATTTTTTTCCGATTGTTCCTATGGGAGCTATATGATATAGTCGTCCGGTTTTGATGAGATGTATACCGTAATTCTGAAATATTATTATATGTCGAAGAACTAAAAAAAAACAAGAAAGGAAGCAATCTTTGGCACTTCGGCAAATATTTAACCACTACTATATGTTGAAGGACTAAAAAAAAATGAAAAACAGCTAAGTTATAATTTATTTTTATTAATTTTTTCGATTGTTCCTATGGGAGCTATATGCTATAGTCGTCCGATCCGGCTCGTTCCGACTTATATACTACCTGCAATAGAAAGACAACTTTTGGAAAAGTTTTATGCAGATAGCTTTAAAACTGAGAGACTAGTTTGCGTAGAAACGGACGGACGGACGGACAGTATAGTATATAAGTCGGATCGAGCCGGATCGGACAACTATAGCATATAGCTCCCATAGGAGCAATCGGAAAAAAAAAAAAAAATTATAACTTTGGTGTTTTTTAATTTTTTTTTTTAGTTCTTTGAGATGGTTAAATATTTCAGAATTACGGTTCATCAAAATCATCATAGCTTCAATGTTTTTAAACATACACGCAAGTAAATCATAATTTTAACGTTTTCAAGAGTATTTAGTTTTTGAAATAGCTGGAAGGGGTATATAAACTTCGGCTTGCCGAAGTTTGCTCCTTTCTTGTTAATTAAGACCTAAGATATTTGATATTTTTCTGACAACAAGTATAATGGGAACGGTTTTGGGAGCTCTGGTTTTAGAGCTATCTGCATGAAACTTTTCCAAAAGTTTTATTTCTATTGCAGGCACATCCCGAAAAAAATTCCTTCAACACGGTATAAAATCAAGCCCGAACGGGGTCAAAAAGTGCGTAGTCACAACTGTTAGAACCGGAGACGGGCCTGCATACTTCGAGGTACGTTATGTTAAAAAGCAACGACATTAAAGTTGTATACCCTTGGAGAAAGTATCATACAAAAAACATTGATTTATTTGAGTAGAAACGGACGAAATAACCGACGGACGGACAGGCATGGCTGGATCGACTCTATGTCGTTTAAAAATTGTATATTTTTAACATTCTATTTAAACTTATCTTACTTCATAGAGTTAACTGGTTAACATAGGGTTAAAATCCTATGCAAGTATATTAAAAATACTCGTTTGGTTTGATATTTAAAACAAGATCAATTGTAAATGATTTAAAACAAAAGAAGCCAACATTTACAACATCCTTAATAAAAAATGTAGTTCCGGAGAAATCCACGCCAATAAATTTGTTAGTTTTTCAAAAACCTTAGCTTCTTTATGACAAAGTAAAGCCTATTTTTCAGTTATAGGGTTAGGTTGGGGTTGGGTGTAGGAATATAAGTTCATAAAATACCAGCACAGAAAATATTTGGCCAAGTAAAGAAAACAAATTTACTTGAAAAGCTGTGTAAACATTAAATTTTTTTGTTACCTTATACCTTACCTTGGTAAGGAAATATGAGGCTACCTTTTACCTTACCTATAGGTAAAGTTTTTTATTTATCTTAAAAAGATTTTTAATGGGTATTTAGGTACTGAAATATTTTTATTCAATTTTGATTTCAAATTAGCTTGATACCACTAAATTGAATTTCGTATTCTTTTCCCCAATATGTAAAAAAAAACTGCAAATTAAAGTTGATTCCACCGCACTTGCAAGATAAAATAAGTTTCTTGTTACATGTTTTATGGTACAACATATACACAATATCACAATACCCTTGCAACTTCGTGAAAAACAAAACGATTAAATTAAAAAAAAAAAAATATTAAAAATATGTTTTTTTTTACCATTTTTGTACCTTTTACATAACCTAGGTTCATAACAAATTGTGTACATTTTACGTTACCTAAGTACTTATTTTCACAAATACCTTGTACCTTACCTAGATCCAAAGAACTAGTACCTTTCCCAACACTGCACAGTAGGCCAGAAATCTAATATTATGGCCAAAAATCTGCCATTTCTTTCCCTGTACAGCTAGGAAGCTGAAATAAAGCTGACTATCTTCTTAAAAGATTGAACTTTTTAACCAACTAACCAACTTTGCATCTGCATTATCAAAAGTTTAAAAAACAATTGTATTATGATGACGTCATTACGGCCCTTCAGTGTACGCATTATTATATTATTTGTGTGTACTGCCTTTTCTCCAAATAAAGTTCATACCTAAAACCACGATTTTTGAAAACTAAAGCAAGACCGCGCAAAATCGTCGGGTAATTTTGTTAGTAAATTGATCAAATAACTTATTTTTAAAGGTATCTCTCCATTTTCAGAGGGTACCCGAAAGTAATTCTAAAGCAAAGTATCCCACTACGAAAAAAACATGATTTTTTTAAGTTTTTGTCGATATTTTATAAATAAGTAAGAAATCCAGATAAACTACATTTTCAATTGGCATTTTAATCAATTTCAATGACTACAAGAAATTTGATTAGCTAACTATTCAATTTTTTTCATTAGATTTTTTTTCTTTATATTCAACTTTGCATGAAATTTGATCATTAACAAGAAAGGAAGCATATATTTATATTGTTCCCATGGGAGCTATATGATACAGTCGTCCGATTTTAATGAAATTTAAACCGTAATTCTGAAATATTTAACTATTACTATATTTCGAAGAAATCTGTTAATTGATCGTTAATAATGTGCATTGCAGGCTAAGTTAAAGTTACTTGCACTGTTTCCGAACTACGAATTTTTTTACACTTTTCTTTAAATTCCATTGTGTCCTCAGCAATGTACCATAGTATCGAAGACTTTTCGAACTAACTTTGACATGAAAACCATGCCTATGTGTGGTGCTTTCATATAAAAGTTTATTATTATTATTCATAACTTTGATATATATAATATGCTTTTGTATCTTATAGATATGAAAAAGATCGTTTTGGTATAAGAAAATTGATATGCAAAAATTGAGGAGAATATACCGAACTGGTATTATCTTGCTTTTTTTCTCTGTGTAACATTTTAATTCCTGCATCTTCATCTAGTCTTTCCTTGAACTCATCACAAACTTTTCCTATTTGGGCATTTCCAAATAAAGTCTCACTAGGAAATTGTTTAATGCTAAATTTAATTGTATTGCTCATCAAATGCTTTACTTTTTCAATAAGTTTTGGTCAATGTTGTTGGAAATGCAGAAATTCAGAAAAATGTATTTAAACATCGTTTAACTTTTACCTTATAAATTAATTTTTTTTTAAATAATCCTTTTTGTTTTGTTCAGAAACAAGTTAAATAGGGATCAACTTCCTAGGGCTATTGTCAACAGAAGATAAATACAAATGGTTATTAAATCATTTCGTATCACTATGGACGACAGTACATGTAGTGACGATGAGCACCAAGAGCGTGTGCATAAAAGACTACTAATTTATAGCTGCAGAATTGAAAATCAGCTGTGATGGTCCGATCGTGACGAGTAATACACATATTGAAAGGTATCGCTAAATGAATGAGAATTGCATACCAAGACTTTAGGAAAGTTGATTGGTTGAGGAGGTCGGTGAAAGTGACATACTAAAAACTTTTTAAGTGGAGTACCTGAGCGTGGATTGGTAAAATATTACGCTTTTTTAACACAATTATCACGCTAAAATAATAAATACCTGTGTAGGCAACATACTTGGATGATGCGGTCCGAATGGAAACATTTTTTTAAGTGTATTTATTTAGTCGAATGCTAATTAATTTTTCGTCACAAAAGTTGATATCAGATGTTTTATATGTTGAAGGTACTATCGTCACGCCTTGTTAAGAGGCGTTTCTGTTTGATAATAATTTAAACTTAATTTGTTTCGAACACATAATTCTAAAATCCCAATTTATTTCCGTTCTAAAAATTTCCCGCCGTTAACATTTGCGATTTCGGCTGATCTCACATCAACTGAAATTGGAAAATTGAAGGTGGATGTGCTCTGTGGAAATCCGAGTTTTTCATTTGTCAAAAAATCCAACCGTTTCCAATGGAAAGATGTGGAAAGATGTCATTAATTTGAAGAATCTTCGAAAAAATAGTGTGGCTGCAAGACTTTTATTTGTGTATATCTAGGGTATATTTTGGTATTATAACGCGTTTGTCAACAGTTTTCAAGGTAAGATGTTTTAGTGCTTAAAAAAATAAAGATCTTTGTAAGTATGAACAAATTAAATTTTTTAAAATAGGAAGTAGTGTGTCATGAAGGATCCATCCCTTATGCAATTTGTAGAGGACCAGAAAATTGATTCCGCCGCCTATGAAATGTATATTGGTTATTATATGTAAATTATAATCAAACGTTAAAAAAATATTAATATGATTATATCTCCTCAATGTTATTCTATAGTGTGGCTAATAAAAACAATTATATAAGCGGTGCTGATCCTGGATCTTATTTTCCCAAGCCGAGAAGATCTCGACTTAAAAGCAGAGTTCAAGGGAGAAGGTTGTTAGGTGAAAGCATTCCCAAGCAAGTAAATTATTAATATTTTAAAATTGGTTGGTAATATTCATTTTTTATCTTAGGGCATCATTAAAAAAATATACATTTAAATTACAAACTAAAAGTAGAAAAAAAAATATTTTAAAATTATGCCAGGTATAAAAAACATAAGTTAAAATGAAAACCATGACAGATTCATATGAAATAATCTCAGCCTTCTATGAAAAAAAAACAGTTTTGCATGAAATAATATTATCTAATACGAAAAAATTTCATCCTGATATTAAAAATACTATAATGATATGGCAAGTTTGATAAGTGCTGCATATCAATCTGGTATTAAATCAAACTTAATTGTCCCGAACACATAATTGCAAAAGCCCAATTCTTTGATACTTGGGATACTGACGGATTTTTTGGTAAGGTTTTAATGATGTGATTGACCTTACAAGCCCAACAGTATTTGAGATCATGCCGCAGATATTGTCGAGACCGACAAGCTGTGCAAATATTTTCTATTGTCGAGCAGCAACGGTGTAGTTTTTCATTACAAGGTAAGTTCATGTCTGGCCCAGATTGCGTATAAAAGCCCACCCAGTTTTCGAGATCAGACATATCACAATGCGGTTCCTATACGTTCTTGTCTTCGGTGTGCTCTTGTGCCTTGTCCAGGCTCAGGATGACACCACCACCACCGAAGCCTCCTCCGAAACCACCACCACCACCGCCGCCTCCTCCGAAACCACCACCGTCGCCTCCTCCGCCGCCGCCACCACCCCCGCCGCCTCCTCCTCCGACACCACCACCAAAGCCTCCTCCTCCACCAAGTCCCCTTCGTCGGCGGAGGCCAAGAGGCGCAGACGAGCCCGCCGCCGTCGCCTGGCTCGGCAGCGCCAGCGCCGCGAGCGCATGAGGCAGCGCAGGACTCAGAGGCTGCGCCTGCAACTGGAGAACCAGCGCCGTCTGATCAACCAGCTGCGCGGATAGGTGAAGCTGGTGCAGATGCCTTGGGAATTAAAGCAATATATATTTTTTTTTTCCTTGGGTTCTTTAATGGAAAAACCAGCATGCAACAAACAATAGGGCTACAAGTATAACAAAACATGAATTTAAGTCAAGAGCCATTCAACATGGAAAGCCTACCTTTTCACCATCGTACATGAGTTTATGTTAAAGAACAATAAAGCAATGTCGACCTTATAATATTTCGGATCATTCCTTTGGTAGCTTTGTGATGTTGTTGTCCGATTTCAATAATCTTGCAAAGGGTATTATAATTTCTGTCAGGAGTTTGCAACGCAGTGATGGACACGTTTCCGACCCTATGAATTATATATATTTTTGATCAGCAATAATATTTGATTATTTTTGATTAAAGTGGACGACTATATCATATACAGTAGTGGGCAGAGAAATTTGATTTTTTACTAATAATTTTAATTTAAGATTTTAAAAGAAGTCATTAAGTACAGACACAATCTTAGAAGTCTTACAGTTACTCAACTAAAAAAGTGGTTGGAGTTCCTAAACTTGTCAAAGGATCTATATAAGGTTCCATCAGAACGCCGACGCAGCGCTACTATAGGAGCCCTGGAAGGAAGTCGATGTTGAATTGAAGAGCAAAATCGCAGGGAGCTGAATCTAGTCCGGGAAGCCATGGAAGAGCTGTTAAGAGAGTATTGTTGACTTTTGCTGAATTCCGTTGTCGATAGGACATAATAACAAGAAAGAAAACAAACTTCGGCAAGCCGAAGTTCATATACCCTTGCAGCTATTGCAAGAATTAAACATTTTTGAAAACATTAAAATTATGATTTACTTTCGTATATGTTTAAAAACATTGAAGCTATGATGATTTGCAGCTCAATTATTTTATAGTTATTTTATATATTTTTATTATTTCTAAGGGAGCTATATGATATAGACGTCCGATTTTGATAAAATTTAAACCATAATTCTGAAATATTTAACCATTGCTATATGTCGAAGAACTAAACAAAAAATTAAAAAACAGAAAAGTTATAATTTTTTTCATTTATTTTTCCGATTGTTCCTATGAGAGCTATATGATATAGTCGTCCGACTTTTATGAAATTTAAACCGTAAATCGGAAATATTTAACCATTACTAAACGTCGAAGAACTAAACAAAAAAATAAAAAACAGAAAAGTTATAATTTTTTTCATTTATTTTTCCGATTGTTCCTATGGGAGCTATATGATATAGTCGTCCGACTTTGATGAAATTTAAACCGTAAATCGGAAATATGTAACCATTACTAAATGTCTAAGAACTAAACAAAAAATTGAAAAACAGCAAAGTTATAATTTTTTTCATTTATTTTTCCGATTGTTCCTATGGGAGCTATATGCTATAGTCGTCCGATTTTGATGAAATTTAAACCGTAAATCGGAAATATTTAACCATTACTAAATGTCGAAGAACTAAACAAAAAATTAAAAAACAGCAAAGTTATAATTTTTTTTCATTTATTTTTCCGATTGTTCCTATGGGAGCTATATGCTATAGTCGTCCGATCCGGCTCGTTCCGACTTATATACTACCTGCAATAGAAAGACAACTTTTGGGAAAGTTTCATGCAGATAGCTTTAAAACTGAGAGACTAGTTTGCATATAAACGGACGGACAGACGGACGGACAGACGGACGGACAGACGGACATGGCTAGATCGACTCGCCTAGTGATGCTGATCAAGAATATATATACTTTATAGGGTCGGAGATGTCTCCTTCACTGCGTTGCAAACTTCTGACTGAAATTATAATACCCTCTGCAAGGGTATAAAAACGCTTATTGTGCTGGCTGAACGTAAACAGCGCCTTTTAACTGCGAAGACTCTGTTTTTGAAGTGTCGAAACGTAACGTTTATTGCAATCAGTTTCGAGCAATTCGTTCGGCTGTGCTTAAATGCGTTTTACTATCTGTTTTCAAGTACCTTAAATTAAAATACAAATTCTTTTTTTTCTTGAGAGAAACTACAAACCAATCGTGTCGATCATAAGGGCAAAAGTGACCATACACTGCTCTTCTTGAGCTTCTTATCCAATAGTATCGATATCAAAGAAATTGCGATCGAAACTTAAAAGATTACATATATTATATATCGACATTCAAACTTAATAATAATAACATAAATATTAAATAACAAGTATTGTTATTGCGAGTGCATTTCAAAAAGACGAAGTCGACGTCATCCAAAGTAACGATTCTGGATATTTCCAACAGCATCTGGCCGTTGTCGGTAGCAGAAGCAATTAAGTCGATTTTTCTTCAGTTGGATCCCATTTGGCTAAGGAAATTCGGATGGATCTTCCGGTAAAATTTCCGTTTGATTCTGGATCATACAATGGGAAGGCTATGTTACTGACGAGTGAAAAGTACGATCAATAACAACTTGCTTTTAGTGGCAACGAGTGGAAGTCGTTTGGCAACAGAACGAGAAGTTTGCAGTTTACTTTCACAGTTTCAGCCGGGCGGTGACCTTATAACCCCAAAAATGATAATTAAACTTCCAAACTCTGCTATCGAGTTGTAAACTCTTTAATGGGAATTATCCTAGAAAATAAAAAAAAATCTACTATCATAATGATACCGAAGCCCGGAAAAGACCGTCGTCCTACAGACCAATTAGTTTATTATCGTGTATGTCTAAAATGTTGGAAAAATACCTTTTGGCAAGCATAACACCATATCTGGAAGCACACAATGCCACCCCGGCACATTAATTTGGCTTCCGTCAAAGCCATGGAACAATCGAACCAGTTAACAGAATAACACCAGAAATTCGCACGGCCTGCGAGCATCAGGAATGCTGCAACGCAATATTCCTCTATGTATCTCAAACTTTCGATCGAGTCTGGCTCGATGGCCTCATGTATAAAATCTAAACAAACTTGCCTACCTACACTCATACGCTACTTGAGTCGTATCTCTACACAGAGTCTTCGCAGTAAGGTGCAACACAACAACATCTGACGACCTGCTGTACAATTCCACTCTGATATATATGTCCCATCTGGACATATAGCTCCCAGCTATGGGGGAACGCGATTAGCAGCAATATAGACATCATACAGCGCGCACAATCAAAAATCCTAAGAACTATCACTGGGGCACCATGGTAGTTTCGCAACCAAAACATCCACAGGGTCCTCCGCATTCTTGCAGTAAAAGATAAAATAGACAAACAAAAAACGACCTACAATGAAAAACTCTCTGTGTACCCAAAAAATCCAGCAGAACCCGCCTACTACGCAACGACCTCCCAACCCAGCAATAATTCTCAGGGCCCCATAACTCAGTCATACGTCTGTTAGTTAAGCTATTACCATAATATTTGATACACTTATTGTTAGTATCCAAAAGGAGAAGATTCAATAAATAAAATGCAAAGCTAATAAAATAAAGAAAATTTTGAAGAGTGACGCAGGCTGGTCCGAGATGTCAGCATGGGGGATGACGAGTTGATGGATGGACTCTGATTCTCCGTTGGCATTCCAGCGCTTAATTTGCGCACTCAAGGCAAGCTGCAGTGTTTTTATAATCCTGGAAGTATGCCCACAGCCCTTGCTGACTTAATACTGCCAGCAAGGGCTCCTGGAGAAAGCAAGGAGCAACCATGGAAGAGTGATCCGACTAGCAAGGAGATGCGTTGCTACAACAGCAATGAAAAAGGTCACTGGGCCAGATAATATACATATAAGCGGAATTAGAAAGAGTGCGTTAACAATCACGTAATATAGTTTAAAATGTTTTGTTTTGAAAACTCTGACCAGCCAGTCATTACAGAATGCTTGATATGTACCAACAACCCAGTATACTGGTATACCTTTGATAAAGGTTGCATGTAAGTCTTAAAATATAAAGTTAGAATCCCAGGAGAAGGCTAGTTTTTGATTGAGGAAAAGCTTATTGAAAAGCCGAGAACAATATTGTTTTATTTCAAAATAAGAAATAACGATTTTTTAAATTTTAATATTGGGGCGGAGAATCTATGGTCTACAATACTGTGCTGGACAGAGGTTTTATGGATGCATTAAATTTAAACATTAAATCAGGAGATTTCAAAGAAAATCAATTAGAAAGATAGAATTTAGAAGACCCACGTTTTGAAAGGAAAAGGTTAGGATAAAAAATTTAAGGATGAACTAGTTTAGGAAATAATATTTTAGGAAAACAAATCTTAGGAAAAGAAACTTTTTGAATTGGTTGACTACGATTTTTCCCAGCAAGTTATGCAAACAAATATTTTAGAAGTTGCAAAAGGAGAAAGACTTTAAAACATTAGTGATAATGATAATGATCAAATGAATATGGTCGAATAAATTTAATAAGGCGACCTGAAGTTCCGAAAATAAAGTGTGAAATGAATGTGGTTTTGGAAAACTTAAAACCCCTCAACTGCAAATTAAGCATATTATATTATGTACATGGACGCCATATTAATTGGCAACGAGAGTTTAGATGAACACATGGAAATTTTAGAATATTGAAATTGAGAATGGAAAAATGCAAAATTTGGGGTTTGTGTTTTCAAATGATAAAATTAAAGCTAACGATGATTGCTTGGAAGCGATAGAAAAGTTTTCAATTCCGGGAAAAGTGGACGGAGTGTAAATTGTTCTGGGTCTTTTGTTTAGTTTTCGCATGTTTCTTAAGGATTTTTCAATGATAGCGAATCCATATATGACTTATAAAGAAAAAATAGAGTTTTAAAGAATGAGGCAATGCAAAGTTAATGAAAGCTGCAGTTTTGGCTTAATACGATCAGAGCTTTAGGACTGGGAGCTGTGCTTTTCAAAGAAAAGATGAAATGTTGCATCCAATTGTTTTCTTCTCAAGAAGATCCACGACAACGGAGGCATCACATATAAATAATCACATTCATAAGTTAGAGACCTTATCCATAATTATCGCGCTGAAGAGGTTTTTCATTGTTTTGCAAGACAAGCGGCTTAAAATTGTGACAGAATGCAAGACCTTAGTCCTAACGCTCAAATAATTTGATATTAGTTCCAGAATAGCAAGGTGATCTTAAGAGCCGCAAGAGTTCAATTATGAATTGGAACACAGGACAAACAATAAAATGCAGCATATGACCTTTGTAAAAAAATTCATCCAAACAAAAGGGAAAGGTCTATTTGAAATACACATTTTTTGTTAAGTGACTAGTTTCGGTA